AGCATTTTTCAATTGGCATACTAGTTGATTAAAAATGTTGATATGCTCCTGCAAAAGTGTACCACCTTCCATTCGTAGTTGGTACAACTCCCACCTTAGACAAAGAATATTTGTCAATGATTTTGATGCATATACACGTTGAAGTTTTTCCAACAACTTCCTTGGATCTGACTCCGTCAAGTAGTTATACTTGATCTCCGTAGCTATAGCGAGACGGATAGCACTTACTGCCTTCTTCTGCAATAATGCCCATTTGGCATCATCAATGGTTGCGAGCGTCTTTTCCTCCAAAGCATCATTTAAATTTTGTTGAACCAACAAATCTTCAATGGTACTCTTCCATACCATAAAATTCATTTTCCCATCAAACAAAGGAATTTGAAATTTTTGGGAACCTTCCGCCATTTTCTTTGACACAATATACTTCCCTCACTCACAAAGGTAATTTTCCCTCCCGGACAACTAACCAAGCTGCGATACCAGTTGTTGAGAAAAATTACCCTCTCAAATAACAACACAACACTCAAAATATTATGAAAGGAATAAAATATGTGCATAAAAATTAAAAGGGCAAGACAAAATATTTTTTACGTGGAAACCCTCTCAATTAGGGAAAAACCACGATCCTTTTGGATTAAACTTTTCACTATAATATCAATTGGAGTACAACAAACACAACACCAAAACAACAATTGATATCCTCTCCACAAAACAACTCACCCTATGGCTAGTGCTACACGTCTACACTCACATTTTTAAGAAGGGAGTGTTTCTACCTTTATATATTAAGAAACACACACACAAAGAATAAAATAAACAAGCATATATACTCCGGACCATAAGATAAGAGATATAAGGGATAAATCAATTCCTTTCAAACAAGGAAGTAAGGAAGTGGGCCTCCTTCACATGCATGATTGCAGGATAGTTTTCCATTTTTTGAATTCCCTTTATTTTATTCTTTTCAGTCTTATCTTGTCACCTTTATTTATTTGCTTATTTATTTTATTATATAAATTTTATTTTATTTTCTAATTACTAAAAAATAAAATAAACTCCAGCATAATTAATATTTGGTAATTGGGGAGATACCCTAACAAATCCTCCCTCAACCCAATTGACCAAATACTTCAACCTCGTCTAAGAAACAAACCTTTTTTGGGATCAATACATACATACATACATACATACATACATACATAAATACATACATACATACATACATACTTTTTGGTCCTCGATTGCAGCTTGTGACTCTTCTGGCGTGCACTTTCTTTTAGTGTGCTTCGTTCCGGTTGAGTTTTCAGAACCGACTCTAGCCCCAGACTCACCGATGAGGTTTGGGTTTTGAAAAAAGTCGGATTATTTATGTACGTTTGGTAAAGCAAGCCACATCGCGTACTTATTAGGCGAAAGACCAGATGGAGTTCTAGATGAAGGATGCATGAAAAAAATAAACAAAAAGTAAGATATGAAAAATGAGTAAGAAAGAGATTTGAGAGATATTAGCTGCAAATGAAAATACACGACAAAGTGATTGATTTGCATTCCCCATTGATTATTTAACATACTGTAAGTAAATTTATTTTAGCACGAAAATGGTTTGATCCAAGCTATGTTTGCGATTATCACGCGAGATAGTTAACTCTTAAATCACTTATGCTAAAATACAATAAGAATTATAATATTTAGTTACATTTAATTATTATTACCTCTAATCCTATTATTAATTTCTCATGCATAGCATCTTGCATATGAGTATGCCCAACGGGGAGCATCGCTAATTCTTGCTGCAAGGAGAGAGGGTAGCCTAAATCATGTAGCTAATCGAGCTCGTGAGCTTGGTGCTCCAGATGTTGTTGCAATCCGGGCAAATGTTTCCATTGTAGACGATTGTAGAAAGATTGTTGATCAAGCCATAAGTCATTTTGGACGCAGTGAGTTGTGTTATATCTATACCTAGCTAGCTAAAACCATTCGCATAAACACATCTTTTAGCTTTCAAAACATCCATTTTGTGATTTATTTAAAGTGGACCATCTCGTCAATAATGTCGGGGTAACATCAATTTCGTTGTTTGAAGAGGTTCACGATGTCACCTCTCTTCGATCGGTCATGGTGAGAAACTTAATTGCCTTGAACCATCACTTTAGATCCATGCTTGATAGCAAGCATAAATATTGTCGGAATGGAAAACCTAGTCCCACATTGAAAAGTGTTAGATTGTCTTGAATATAAAAGCTGATCTCACTCCAAGAGTTTGACAAATTTTGGGAAATGCTTAAAATAAGTCTATGACGATTTGACCTAAAGTAGATGATATCATACTCATAGAGCTATAGAGTTAATAGGCAGTCTTAACACACACAAACACATCTTCAAAAGGTTAAGATTTTAATAAGAATATTCTTGTTTATATTTTAATTAGGACATTAATTTCTGGGGCTCAGTTTATATGACTCGCTTTGCTAGCTCTCATCTGAGAAAGACTAATGGTAAAATTGTCGTGATTTCTTCATCTGCGGCATGGTTATCTCTACCAAGAATGAGCATTTACAACGTAAGTATTTTTTATTACTATTCATTGTATTATAATGTAGTATGTATTTGGCATTTACAACATAAGTGTTGATTCCTAAGAAACATAGATATTCTTAGATTTACTCCATTGGTTCATATCAATTAATTTTATTGTACTTTTTATATACCATTTATAGTAACTTTTCATAGTCTCCAATGCAAGCTTTGAATGTGTGTGTGTGTGTGTGTGTATCTATATATATATATATATATATATATATATATATATATATATATATATATATATATATATATATATATATATATATATATATATATATATATAGCCGTTGGATCTGATGCATCATGCGGCTCAGATTGCATCATGCGCTCAGATTTTGAGATAGTACATTTTCAAAGCATTTTGGTGCATTTCGACGTGATGCATTTTTAAACCATTTTGGTGCATCTGATTTTGATGCAATCTTGACCCTTAGATCTCACAATCTAAAGCACTACTACAAGAATTTATATGGTGGTAACCTTCCTACATGAGGCAATGATGATGGAACAAGAGGTGTCGGGATTTGTTGACACCATTGAGATTTGACACTAACACTTTAATATTTAGTGTTTTTACAATATTATGAATTATGCTACATTCGCACGTGAAGTTTTCATTAATCTAGTTTTGAATTATGTATTTTGTATTGATATCTTGTTTAGAATTATGTGTGAAAATTGAATGTGTTTTGCCCCCAATTTTAATTGCTACTGCCAAAAAATAGCAAAAACTAGTGGCTGCGATCAGGCGGTCTACAACGGAGTAGTACGTTGCTGATTTCGTCGAAGATCTGCAACGGTGTGTAGACTTTCGTCGCAGATTTTTTGGGTTGCAAAAAAAGACGAACCCGTTGCAGGTCCGTTGCAGATTTGCCACAGATTTTCAGTTCCGTCACAGATTTTAAATCTGCCACAAGTTTTCTGCGATGGAATATTTTCTTTGCAGGTCCGTTGCAGATTCTAAATCTGCCACGGAATTACAAATTCTACAACAGAAATTATCCGTGGCAGATTGACAGTTTTCTTGTAGTGCACCAGATTCATTCTCATTTCTCTCCTAAGATCGCATTCTCACCAGAACATATATATATATATATATATATATATATATATATATATATAACATAACAATTTAAAAGTATGTTGCAAAATGAATATATTGATATTACATTTATCATCCCTCTAAAGAGAGACATTAAAAATGGCCTAGCTAAAATGGTTGGCGTTTTGGTTGCAGGCAAGTAAAGCAGCAATGTCTGAGTTTTTTGAAACGTTAAGGATTGAATTTGGGCATGACATCAAAATAACTTTGGTGACCCCTGGATTTATAGTCTGAACTAACCTAAGGAAAGGACTTAGATAAAGATGGGAGATTGAGTGTTGATGCTGATTTGAGGGATGTAAGTTTTTCTCCCTAAGTCTTGTTATTTTCAAAAAAATAAAGAAAATTGATTCAATATAACTTAGCCCTTGTTTGGGAACAATAACTTCACTTAGCGTTTTGAATCTTTTTAAGGTGTAGATTCATTTTTGAAAATCTTGAAGCTAAACATTGCTAATTAATAACCTTTTCAAAATGCTAAAGATGTTTTCCGTAAGTTTCCGAACATATTTAATCAACCAAACAAAGGTTCACAAATTGGTAATGTGTTCATAAATTTCCAACGAAACAGTATTCGAGATATTATTCATGGGTCTGTGTGGTGAGCGCGAGAGATATAACTTGTGATATCTTCAGATATTAGAACCCTTTCGTGGACGTTTCATGAAATTAAAGTAGAGTTTGGATTTGTTATCTCTAGATATCATATTACTTCCAAATGGAGTGTTTTGATATGTTTTGAATTTGGGAGATATCAATACAGGGTTTTGATTTCTCCCTAAACCATTGTCAGTCACCGTTGTCGTTGCCGCCAACCTATTGTTTCTGACCATATATCATCACCAACCATTCGTTGACATCGACTTCCCAGCATCACATCCTGACTGCTAATAATCATTTTTTCATTAATTTCCAAATGCTTTAATTACAAATATTAATGGGTGACCTCATGGGTAAAACATTTTTTGCACAAACTCGCACGTGCGGCACATACGATTATCGTCTGTTCTATCTGTTCAAAGCATGGGTTCACCTATGTGGTGTTGCTGTAGTATGGTCTGATGTATTATATTCTTTCTTTACCAATTATATACTCTTTGATCTTTTATTTCACTCAATGATGCGGTTTCACTTTTACAATATGTCGCAGGCGCAAGTGAATATCATTCCTATAGGAAAGGTAGAGGGATGCGCAAAGGCAATCGTGAGCGGTGCTTGTCAGGGAAAAAGGTACCTTACAGAGCCAGCATGGTTCAAAGTGACACAATGGTGGAAGGTATTCTTCCCTGAAGTGGTCGAGTACTCACATATGCTCCTCGCTATGTGCTCTGCCGCAGGAAGTTCACCCCTGGGGAAGAAAATATTGGGTTATACTCGCATCTAGAAGATCCTGTATTGAGTAAATTTGAGTAAATTTGTTGTTTGTGAAGCTTTTATAGAATTTTTGGTATGATGTTTCATAGTTGGAGTGCTTAATTTGTGCTTGTACGTTTGGTTTGTTTGTTAATTAGTGTGACTCCTTAATCTTGGGATTTAATTACTTCATCCGTCTTAAACTTTCTCTTTTCAATTTATAATTTAGTCAATTCGTTAACAAAGATTAGAATTATATTTCATTCTAATCATTCCCGAGGATATGATAATCGGTTTACTTTGTTGGATTTTTGGAATTTAATAGGCATTAAAATTGACCAACTTAGGGTGTATTTATCTATTTGTGGGTCCAAAACAGGTTATTGACTTTTTATTGATAGACACATGTTCTTCTTGGTAAGACGAATGGTGAATGAATGAACCTAATATGAAAAAGAAGAAATGGTCGTAAATATGGCAAAGTTTCAGTATCCTCAGATGACTCTAGGGGACTTGGCCTCATCAAAGAGTTTTGGACACCCAGGTGAGTGCAGGGACCCTGGGAATGCTTAAGTGACCCCAAGATCAGATCGTGCCTGTCCTGATCTTATGCTTGTCCTTGGCTATTTGCTCGACTTCGGACCAAAAACTCTTTTATTTTACAAGCTGAGTGCAAATCTTTCCATTTTACAAGAGTTAAGTGGCCATTAATCTCTAATAACATTAATAGATCTTTAATGAAACACTTGTAACCTACGAATTAATTGTTACTAATAATGAATCATTATTGGTGACATTAATGAAGATTATTATTGATGATCATTATTGACAAATGTTACAAAGATGCATATATATTTTAAAGGAGATTTTATTAAGATTGAGGGAAAAGAAGTACAAGTGAAAGAGAGGCCTTCTACACCAACGACAATAGTTTACTACCGTTACTCCAAAATAAATCTAAACCCCAACCCTTGAAAGTGTTGTCATGGATCAGCCATTTTTTGCGTCTTGAAGCCCAACTCCATGCTTGTATATGTTTAAAGCATTGCTGGATGATACTATTCGTGGTGTGGATTTGGCCTTCATGAATTGCTAAATTCCTTGCCTTCTAGAGGTGCCAAGCAATGACACCGGGAAAAATGATTCGAAGAACCCCTTTGAAGGAGAACGTATCGCCGGAGAACCACCAACTGATGAAAATTTGGTTCAGTTTGAGGTTGGCCGTTGTCGAGGGAGCTTCGATAAGAGTGCCAAAATACTTCCACACCTGGTTGCCAAACTTGCAGTTGTCAAGAGTATGGTCTAAAGAGTCTTCTGCTTGCTTGCAAAGGGGACATTGGCTAGGGAAACTTGAACCGAAGCACTTGGTTAACTCCGGGAAAGATTCGGATTTTAGGAGTCTTGGCCTTATGCCAGATGTACTTGCAAGAGAGACGGGATGGGATTCCACCGTAAAGAGAGGTGAGAGTAGACTTGGAGGAGAACGGTTTCCCATCCCAAAGTGATGGTTGAACAGAATCAGTAAGGTGAGTGACAGCGTAGGAGTGTACCCGGTAGATCCTCTTCCAAGTTGACGAATCAGTGAGCTTTTCTTTGATAGTGCCCTTACGCATATAAATGGCGCGCATGGTGTTAGCCCACACACCTGTATCATGCTTTACCCGCCACCAGAGGTTGATGGATTGAGCCTGTTGAATTGTTTGGAGATCCTTAATACCCAGTCTGCCGGAAGTAGAGGGTTGGCAAAGGCGTTTCCAGCTCTTCCAGTGGTGCAGTTGGTTACCGTGCCTTCTCCCCCAAGAGAAATTGGCCATCCTTGCATGAAGATTGATGAAAGAGACCGGAAGGGAGTGCACGGCTAAAATATGAAGGGTAATGGACGAGAGAACATGCTTGATGAGTATGAGACGTCCCATTTGGTTTAGAGTTTTGCTATACCAAGAATGAATGTGCTTGTCAAAGTGGTCCAAGAGGTTGCCACAGTGGTGTTTTTTGAGTTGCCCTTTGCAAATGGTAGCCCCAAGGTAGGTGAAGGGTAAGGTTCCCTTATGCATGGCAAGGATATTTTCCATGTTCTTCAGTTGGCTACCGGTAGTGGTATCTTTGACGTAGAACTTGCTCTTGGCTAAATTGATGACCTGACCAGAATCTGAGGAGTATTCGTCCAGCAGCTTCTTGAGCTTTAGTAAATTGATGGAGTCACCCTTAGTAAAGATCATTATGTCATCGGCGTAGGTGAGGTGGCCTGGGAACTTCACACTGCCCATGTTATATTGATGGATGTGAGATTCCTCCATGCTATTATTAAGTAGACGAGATAATCCTTCACTTGCAATAATGAAAAGAAGAGGCGAAAGAGGGTTGCCTTGCTTAACCCCTCTAGACATGGGGAAGTAGCCCGCTGGTTGCCCATTAATTAGGACAGAGAGCATACTGCCTCTAAGGTTAGCCATGAGAAGGCTAGCTGCTTTGGTGCTGAAACCGAACTGAAGAAGAACCGCAAGCAGATAGTCCTAGCGCAAGGTGTCACATGCCTTTGCCATGTCAATTTTGACAATGACATTACCTCCGAAAGTTTTCCTATTCAGGTTGTGTAACGCTTCCATAACAAGGAGAATGTGGTCGGACATGTATTTCCCTTTTTGAAACGCCGCCTAAATTTCTTTTTTTTAATTAATGAACGGTCGGTTACAAGCACGGGGGCCGAGGCCCGTTAACCTCGTGACTACCCCGGGGCCCGTTAACACCCGAGGTAGATAGCCCATTATAGAAAGGCCAAAGTAAGCCCAATCTAAAGCCCAGCCCCCATAAGCCCAAATCTACTTCCCAGGGGGTCACCATCATTTTTGCTACTCCCATGCCAGCACGCTTAACTCTTTAAAATTCCTCCAAATATGCATCTTCTGGGGATCGAACCTGGGTGGTGTGGTTCGCCAATCAACCATGTGACCATCTCTACAGGGGGAACCACACACACACACACACACACACACACAGATATATATAGACACAGACACACACACACATCCATCCATCCCAAAAAGCATAAGGGATATTTTGGTAGTTCCTCCTTGTTTTTCTGGACGACAATTGTTCTGACATTTTCTCGTTCACCGGCACAACTCCAGACCACACAATTGCATTGTGCAATAACAGTTTTATCTTGGAAGGAGAGCATCCACGTTAGCGAGTGTGGTAGGTGAGCATTACTACCTTAAGGAAAGCTTTAGCAACTCTACTTTCCTTCTTTTCTTCTAGTTTTAGGCAATCTCATGGCTCCCTACTCAGGCGGAGTTCAATGATGCGTTGCCTTAGACTCTAGATGCTACTCTATTTTCTTTATCATTATTGTAAAATCTAAATAGTTTATGAATTTAGAATATTATATTCTTGTTTATGGGCCGATATCCAGCGGGCGGCCCAAATTGATCATCCAACAGACTCTGGGTCAAGCGCATGGTAAACACTTGGACCTGGGCCCGCCCATAACACGGGGCCCAGACCACTTCAACCCAAAAGACAGCTGGCAGAGCCAATCCGCAGGAGGAAACTCAGCTGAAGAACGGAGATAAAGCCAGAAAAAGGGGATCGCGCCATCGATGGAGTGGACTCCCTTTGATTATAATTACCTTAATTATCAAGAACCCATGTATAAATAGAGGGGACCCGAAAGGGGGGAATCTCAAGCTAAATCAAGCAAGTAATACACACAGATAATTCTCGAGTTCTTGTTCTTATTTCATTTCTTGTAATCCATTCTTCTTAATCGGATCATTTGGTGGATTTATTGTCCATCAAATTGGTGCTTTCATTGAGAGCTCGAGGATCATACTCAGGAAAAACCTTCCGAGAAGACAATGGTGCAAACCCGTAGCAATGCAAATTTAGGTACCGGAATCCCCCTCTAGGGTGAGAACAGCGCCACCGGAGGCCGACACCCTCCTATTAGTCTGACGGAGGTGAAGGCCCTCATCCATAGTGTCGGGATCACTGCAGAGCAGTTCAAGGAGGTGTTGGTGGCCTTGACCCCAAATCGTGAGGTTGTGGTGGAAGACGCGACTGGTGAACCCGCAGGAGGGAAGGCTGGACCTGCGGGCTCGGGGGGAAAGAAGAAGAAGAAGGTAAGGCGGTCCCAAAAGAAAAAGGCGACCAAGCCCAACGGTATGGCGAGGGTAGAGGACGAGTTGTTTAGATTGGACGAGGAAGATGGGTCGTCCTCCTTTGAGCGGGTGTCAGCCTTCAATCGGTTGGGGGATCCCAAATCAAAGAAGCCCCAAACCTCAGCATTCGATCGGCTGCAGGACACTCGGTCAGCTCGTAAGGGAGACCTGAGAGAGACACTCAAGGACAGGAGTGTCCTCAGCAACCTCTTAGATCGGCTCGGAAGAGCGACGAAAGGCGATCGAGAACAAAGAAGCAGTCGAGTTATGGAGGATGTATGAGCGTTTGGAGAAGCGGTTGGATGCCCAGAATCCGTACCGCCAGGTAGTCTTCAGCGAGGTAACGCCCTTCTTCAGGAGGATAATGTCTTGTCCTCTCCTGGACAATTTTAAGACCCCGCAGGTCAAAGCATACAACAGGACGACTGATCCTTAGGATCACCTCGCTCGCTTCGGGGCGAATGTGGTTATGTATGCGTACCACGAAAAGATTAAATTCCGATGCTTCCATAAGTTGCCCAAAGGGTCGATCGACAAGTGGAGCGACCTGGCTCATAAAGTTTTGAAGCACTTTGCATCTAGCCAAAGACAGAAGCCCTCGTTCTTGCACTTGCTCAATGTTAAAATCCAGAAGGGGGGGCAGCTCCGGGAATTTATCAACAGGTGGGAGAAGGAGGCTAGGGACGTCCAAGGGGCGGACGACCAGGCCTTGATCACCATGCTCCAAGCGGCACTCCCTCAAGGGGATGTGCGTGAGGAGCTGCGACAGAATCCGCTCTCGACCTACCAGGAGATGCTAGCCAGGGCGAAGTATCTGGCATTGGAAGAAGAAGATGACGAGCCACCCGTCCGAAGGTGGAAGAAGAGCGGACAACCAGTAGCAGAGGGAAGAAAGAGGAAGGATTTTGGTAGGGGACCAAACCCTATAGGATATCAGGGGAGCAGACAGCTTGTTCATGCGGTACAGTCCCTGCCAGCCCCTCCCCAAAGTCGGAAAAGCTACAGCGTCCAAGACGCACCCAAGTACTGCGAATACCATCGTAACAGCACCCACAACACGTTGGAGTGCGTTACGCTAAAGAAGGAAATGGACAAGTTGATCGCTAGAGGGCCGCCTCCTCAACTAGAGCGACCAGCACCGGGGAATCGAACCTGGAGGAGGCCAGCGGCCGCTGCTGCAGCGATCACTACTAGGGATGGGTAGGAAGATGGAATACGACATCTGGGGAGAGATTGTGACGACCTGGATGAGGAAGAACGACAGAATCGCAGAGATTTGGGGTGTCAGTTCATTATGGGTGGCAACACCGAAGAGGACTCGGCGTCCTCACGGAAGAAGTGGAAGAACATGGTGCACCTAGCCGAGGTGCAAAGGCCACTGCTTCCCAAGCGGAAGAAGAAGGAGCCTTTGATTTTCACAGATGAAGATTACCCACAAGTTCTCAGCCCCCATCGGGACGCGCTGGTGATAAAGGTGGAAATCAATAATGTGGTCGTCCATCGCACGTTGGTCAATACTAGCAGCTCGGTAAACATCATGTACATCAACACCTTCAAGGAGCTGGGGTTGTCACGGGGCGACCTTAAGCCAATCCGTACCCCGCTGTCGGGATTCACAGGGGACACCATAGAAGGAGAAGGAACCATCACGGTGAAGGCTGGGGTAGGAGATGGCACCCACCGGCTCTGGCTCGACATGGAATTCATGGTAGTGCAGCTTGACTGTGCAAACCATTTGATCCTAGGGCGACCGGGTCTGGAGGACTTGGAGTGCGTAATCTCCCCGTCCACCTGTGTATGAAGTTTGTCACCCCCACCGGGGTAGGAGTGGCTAAAGGAAATCAGAGTTTGTCCTAGTCGTGCTATGTCAGGGCGACCAAGAGCCAGGCACGGGTCGATGAGAGTGTCAGCACGATCTACATCGCCATACAGAAGGAAGAGGGGCGACCCAAAGCCGAACCGGCGGAAGAGGTGGAAGAAGTCACCCTGGACCCCACCAAGTCAGAGCAGAAGGTAAAGGTGGGTAAGGCCCTACCACCTAGGCTGAAGGAGCAGTTGATGGAAGTCCTTCGGTCAATCAAAGTGTTATTTGCTTCGGGCCTGGAGGATATGCCCGGGGTCAACCCATGAGTCATATGCCATAGGTTGGCAGTAGATCCGGCCCACAAGCTGGTTAAACAGAAGAAGCGCTTTCTTTCCTCAGAAAGGAGAGACTTTGTCACTAAGCAAGTGGCGACCCTGCAGTCCCATGCCCTGGATTTGGAGAAAGTGTTCAGAATCATGGAGAAGTACCAACTTCGCCTCAACCCAAAGAAGTGCACATTTGGGGTTCAGGGAGGCAAGTTCTTAGGGCACATGGTCAGTTGAAGGGGAATCGAGCCCAATCTAGAGAAGGTGAAGGAAATTTTGGAGATGGAGCCTCCGCAAAATGTGAAGGAGGTCCAACAACTCACGGGGAGGATCGCTGCTCTCAATCGCTTCTTATCGAAGATAGCTGATCAAGCGGCACCTTTCTTCCAGACCATAAAGAAGAACAGAGGCTTTGTCTAGACCGAGGAATGTCAGAGGTCATTTGAAGGGTTGAAGGCATACCTCCTCTCGCCGCTAGTGCTTTCGAAGCCAGAGCTCGGAGAGACCTTGTTTTTGTACCTAGGGATCTCTCCTCGGGTTGTGAGCTCAGTACTTGTGAGAAAGGAGGAAGGTACGTAGCGCCCTGTGTATTATGTGGCCCGGGTATTGCGAGGGGCGGAGCTGAGATATACAAATATGGAAAAGACTATCTTTGCGGGGGTGTGTGCAGTGAAGAAGCTCACCCCCTACTTTCAAGCCCACCCGGTCCACGTGCTGTCCCAAATTCCGATCGGAACCCTCCTTCGGAGTCCAAACGCTCCGTCGCGTGTTGGAAAATGGGGAGTGTTCCTGGGTTCTTTCCAGATAGAATTTAAGCCGCGACCAGCGATCAAGGGGCATGCCTTGGCAGACGTTATGGTAGAATGCACCGCAAGGGAAGTAGAGTCCAACGAAGAAGAGCCCAAGGGAAACTGGTGGACCATGTACACCGATGGCTCGTCCGCGACTCATGCTTCGGGGGGAGGCGTCGTGGCAATATCACCAGAGGGATTCAAGGCATACTACTCCGTAAGATTTCAGTTCAAGGTCTCAAACAATGAGGCTGAGTACGAGGCGCTTCTCTACGGTTTGAGGCTGGCAGCATCATTGAAAGCTGAGCGGATCCAGGTCAGGTGTGATTCCAAATTGATGGTGGGCCATGTCACCGGAGAATTTGAAGCAAAGGATGAGTGGATGAATTAAGAAGTATAGGGACACCGCATTGGAGCTGCTTAAGGCATTTGAGGCGTACCGAATAGAGCCGGTCTCTCGAGAAGAAAATGCTGAGGCAGACATTTTGTCAAAGCTCGGTCCTGATTCCCCAGATCATATCAAGGCGATGACTCAGGAAGAAGAACTGCTTGAACCAAGCATCAGTCTCGGACAAGTTCTGGTCATTACCCTCAGTGTGCCGGACTGGATTGACGAATTAACCATGTATATCCTTGACGAGTCGCTACCAACAGATCCGGTTGCAGCCCAATTCGTTAAGCGACGTGCACCTAGCTACATGCTGGAGTGCGGTCGGTTGTATAAGCGATTGTACAATGGTACATTGTTAAGGTGTCTAAGGAGGGACGAAGCGCAGAAGTTGATGGAACAAATCCATGAAGGGATATGCTCAGCGCACTAAGGAGCTTTTACGATGTCTAGAAAGATAACCTTGCATGGGTACTTCTGGCCTACGATCATCAGGGATTGCGCAGAGTATGTGCGTAAGTGTAAGGTCTGCCAAGCGTTTCAGAAGGTACCAGGGCGACCAGCAACAAATTACACCCCAATCAGCACGTCGATTCCCTTTGCTCGGTGGGGCATTGATTTAGTCGGAATTTTGCCTAGGGGAGCAATGAATAACATGTACTTGGTGGTCACGATCAACTACTTTACCAAATGGGTCGAGGCCGCCCTGGTACCAACTATCACCGAAGAGCAAATGAGGAAATTTGTGTCCAAACAAATTTTGTGCCGTTTTGGGGTACGATGCCCCAGAAGATCATCACTGACAACAGAACCCAGTTCGAGGCTGAGTGGTTCAATGAGTTTCTGCAGAGTTGGGGCATAAAACATAGCTACACCGCGGTCGGGTACCCACAGACCAATGGGCAGGTCGAGAATACTAACTGTACCATTGTGGACGGTCTAAAGAAGAAGATAATGGAGTGCAAAAGTGCGTGGGTAGAAGATTTGCCTTACATCCTATGGACGTATAAGACCACCCCAAGAAAAGCTACGGGAGAAACTCCGTTCGTGCTCACGTATGGGTTCGAGGCAAGGGCTCCAGCTGAGACCTCGTTGTTAAGCTACAGAGTGGAAACGTTTGATGCCCAAGAGAACGAAGAGAACTTAAGGGCGGAGTTACATCTCATAGATACGCGAAGAGAAAGGGCATACATCCGAGCAGAGAACGGTGGAAAGTTTTCCAAAAGTTTTGAAGGACCAAACATCATTAAGGAGGTATTAGCCGATGGAGCCGTTAAGATGCAAACACCAGCGGGAGGCGACGTCCCGCGAGTATGGAATGCTGCCAATCTTATCAAATTTTATCGGTAGACTGTACTCCTGCTATTTTTCTCCTTTGAGTTTAATAAAATCAGCATTTTGGCACTTCTCTTCTTGAATTTCATTGTCCAAAAAAAGGAGCGACCAAAGAGATCGCTAATAGAAGCTACATGGTGATTCGCACTAAGATACCCATCGAGGGATGAGGTGCTGAACCCAATTAGTAACCAAGTCCAAAGGCTATCAGAGGGTGCTTAATGTACGGTCGCTAGGGCGACCAGTAAAACAACACGCCCAGTAGAGAAGGGCGACGCCGTGGCGAAAAAGCCTTAGCAACCGCTAAGTCCAGAACATGAGATCCAATGGTTGCATGAGCGACCAAGGGACTTGTGAAGAACATGGCGACACCGTGGGAGCGAAAAAGTCCCAGGAATGGCTAAGTCAAGGGAAGCAAGGGGTTTTTTCCAACTGAAGGTTGAGGAACCTGAAATGCTTAAGGTGCAAAAGACAACTTGAAAAGAAGATGGGACTTGTAAGTAAACAGGTAACATCGAAGTACATTCACGAAAATATCTATTACATTTCAAGAATCACCTTTTGCATCTACATATCCAATACAATTAAGAACAACTTCCATACATCTTACATACGAGACAAAAAATTCAAAATATGTGCGGCTGAAGCCCGATAAGGATGAGGAATACGGTGGAAAAGGCAAGGTTGAATGGTAGTTCTGCAGTTGTGTAAGCCGACATGACCCCGATCACCAGCCGTCACGAGCGACCACCTTTCTTCTCCGACATGGAACAGAGATGGTCGCCCCCCAGCCGCAACAAAAACCCATGTCTTTCTCCTACGAAAGAAGGGGGGAGGCGACTCACTTTTATGTGAGCCCCAATCGGCATCACCTAGATAAGGATGAAGACCCTGAGGCAGCTTGAGCTACCCCAGGTCGCCTAGGAGTCTTCCGGGGGTGAGCGACCAGCGGGGCGAGGTAGGGAAGAATCCAGTTCTTCCCCCCGTAAAACCCTCAAGCCCCCTGCATCCCCTCCAATTGCACTCCCAAATTTTGTTGACTTTGGTATTAAAGTTTTGGCCTTAAAGTCAATAAAATTTAGGGGATGCAATTGGAGGGGATGCGTTAGGGACGAGACGCGCCTGGCTAGGGGAGATTACCGGAGGTTAGAAGGTAAGAACCATAGGAGGTAAGAACCATCAGTTATACGAACAAGGCACCGTAAGTGCCCGATGTCATATAAGATTATAACTAGTTTCATATTTACAAAACCTAAGGGCTAGTTTCATATTTACAAAATCAGTCTTCTCATTTTCTCTTCTTTCTTTTTTTCTTTTTCTCTCCAACCAAATAAGTAAAATTATTTTCTATCTCATTTTCTATTATTTTCCCTTTCAAATTTCTTGTGAAGATAGTTGGCAGATTTAAAATTTGGTATCTATTTAGGATTCACGAAACACTAAAAATGGTACCAATATTTGGAGATATTAGAATTCACATTGCTCAAAGTTTTGGTTAAGTTTCATAATTTTCTATGGTTCTTTTGACATTGAATTTTCTATAAGGTTGAAAATCAGTCTTGTCCCAAATTATTTAATTGGTTTTCTTTTTTGGTCAAAAATAAAATGTACCATTGAATTACCAAAGACCTCTTTATTGAATTAATTTGACGGCCACCAAAATTCAAACGGGCGATAAAATTCACTAATAATATTTGTTTGCAATAAATATTTAATAAGAATAATATAAAAAATAAATTTAAATAATTTTGTTAAAGTTCTTCCAATTTTTTTCTAGAGTCTTCGTGATGGGATTCAACTTTGTCTAAAAGAACCATATATTTTCCAGAACCTCTTTATTGAATTAAACAGAGGGTCCTCAAAACTTAAACCAACGATAAAATTTACAGATAAAATTTGTCTGTAATAAACATTTCTTAAATGGGACCTCTAAAATTAATTGCTCTTTGATGGACCTAAAGTTTACATTATTTTTTGTGAATCTTCTCACATTAGAAGTGTTTTTTTGTAAAATAAATTGTTTATCAAAATAATAAGCATTTGCTTCCTTTTTTCATATATATATATATATATATATATATATATATATATATATATATATATATATATATATATATATATTATGGATCCTTCCCCTATCCAAACTCTTCCTGCACAGTTAGAAAGGAAAATTAAGGCACTGACTTAGGCTAAATTTTATCCTTCATTTGGTGTCCTCACTAGAAGTCAAAGCAAGAAATATGGAGATCTGCCCCACCCCCTGCCCTTATCATGAATTTTTTATTCTGAAATATTAGAGGGATAGCTTCTTCTCAAGCCAGACTTCTATCCCTCATTAAAATGCACAAAATTTCTTTTCTTGCCATTCTTGAACCCCTTGTTAGCCAAAAGAAACTAAACAGATTCTCCCTCTCTCTCAACTTTTCTAAATACCTTTCTGCCCTGGACAACAAAGCCTGGATTTTCTGGGATCATAATGCCCTACAGTTAATTGATTCTAGAATGGGTGACCAAGCAGTAACCTGCTGTTTTAAACAGGTCGACTCAGATATAAAAGTTTTTATCACCTCAGTGTATGGTAAACACAGTTACATTGATAGAAGGATACTTTGGAAGGACATTGAGGACCACTTTGTGGAAAATGACCTTTGGTTAGTAGCTGGGGATTTCAATGCTATTCTAAGTCATGATGATCATCAAGGGCTCTCCTTACCTGACTCCCTGAGTATGGAAGAATTCTCACAGTGCATGGACCTTGCCAACTTATCCCCTATCAATCCTGATTCTAATACATTCACCTGGACAGGCATAAGAGGAAGAGGTCAGGTTTGGAGACGTATTGACTGGGTCTTTGTCAATCCACCTATGTTGCAGCACTTTGAAAGCATCACCCTACAGCACCTAAGCAAAACAGGTTCAGACCACTGCCCACTCTTGCTTAAATGCTCCACTTTCAAGGAAGATGGTCCTAAACCATTTAGATACATCAATGCTTGGGCAAACAACTCATCCTTTTTGCCTCTCATTGATAAGTTCTGGAATGACAACCCTAATTATGGTGGAATGCTTGGTCTTCACCAAAAGTTCAAAAGGTTAAAAGTGGTTCTCAAGGCATGGAACAAAGAATCTTTTGGAAATATTTTCTCTAATCTCTCTCAAGCTGAGGAGAAAGCAAAAACTGCTGAAAATATTTTCTCTAGTGACCCCACTTCAGCTAATAGACAGTCTCTCTACAAAGCTCATGCTGAGCTACAATATGCAAATATTAATGAGCTTTCCTATTGGAAACAAAAATCCCATCTTAACTGGATGGAACTTGGAGATAGAAACTCTAAATTTTTCCAATCCTATGTTAAAGGTAGAAGACATTTGCTGAAAATAAGGAAAATCAAAGGGGAAAATGGAAGATGTATAGAGGACACAGAGGGAATCAAGAAAGCAGCTGTGGAACACTTCTCAAAAGTTTTCTCAGCAACATCTACTCAAAACATCTCTGAAATACTCAAATACATCCCTCTGTCCATTTCTGTTGAAGACAACAACTTCTTAACTGCTCTACCAGACAATGAGGAGGTGAAAGATGCAGTTTGGGCTCTGAACCCAAACAGTGCCCCTGGTCCAGATGGCTTCAATGGAGATTTTTTCAGGAAAACTTGGCATATTATTGGCAATGAATTATGTATGGCTTCTAAAGAATTTTTTCTTGGTATCCCTGTCCCTACAGGTTATGGAGCTACATGGCCGCCCCTTATCCCCAAAAAAGAAGATGCAGCATCCTTTGAAGATTACAGGCCAATATCTCTATCTACTTTCCTTAGTAAAATAAACACCAAGATCCTGGCTTCAAGGAAACTGAAAGTCCTTCCCAAGATAATCTCAGATCAACAAATTGCTTTTCAAAAGGGTAAGGATATTGCTGATCATATTCTTATGGTGGAGGAAATGTACCATGAGATCAACAGGAAGGTAGAAGGAGGTAACATGATCATTAAGCTTGACTTATCTAAGGCTTTTGACAGGCTAAATTGGGAATACTTAAGGGGCATCCTGGGAGCTTTTGGATTCAATGAAAAAACTCAAAATCTTCTCTTAGCTAACCTGAAAGCAACAAGATTCTCTGTCCTAGTCAATGGAACTCCTTCAGGTTATTTCAAGATGGCAGGAGGGGTCAAACAAGGGGATCCCCTATCCCCACTCCTCTTTATTATTGGTCTGGAAGGTCTTAGCAGGCTACTCATCTCTCACCACCATTCAGGTTACATTTCTCCATTCAATGCAGGAAGAGTCCCCAACCCTTCACACCTTGCCTATGCTGATGACCTAATCATTTTCACTAATGGCAGAGTCAGAAATCTCCTCAGGTTGTCCAACTCCATTTCTAGCTTTCTCGAAGCTTCTGGTCAGAGGGTCAACTTACTTAAGAGTAAATTCTACACTTACTCTAGCATCTCCCCACAAGCACTCTCAGCTAAGGAAAGAGCATTAAAGATTCAACATGATAGAAATCACTTAAACTATCTTGGGGTCCCAATTTGTAAGGGAATTTTAAGAAAGGAAGACTGTGGCTTCCTTATAGAACACTTTGTAAGGGAATTTTAAGAAAGGAAGACTGTGGCTTCCTTATAGAACACTTTGACAGATTACTATCCTCTTGGTATAACAAATCCCTCAACTCAATGGGTAGGCTCACCCTGATCAAATACACTCTTTCCTCTATTCCCTTGCACCTTATGTCTGTTCATAAACTCCCTAAATCAATATCCTCTAACTTGATGAAAAGGATGGCCAATTTCCTTTGGGGCTTCAGGGAGGGAAAATCTAAACACCATTGGGTCTCGTGGACGAAGATATGTCAGCCAACAGAATCAGGAGGACTGGGGATAAAGCACTTGGATAACATACAAGAAGCATGTGCACTAAAGCTATGGTGGAAAATAAACAATAATTTAGGTATGTGGGCAGAATTCATGAGGAAAAAATACTGGAGGGATGGCAATTTCAGTATTAAGCCTACAGATTCACCAACATGGAGGAGAATTGCTAAAATTCATACCCTTGCTAGAAATTTCACTTACCTTTCAGATGGCCATTACAGATGGAGGAATGGGGAATTTTCTTTCAGCAAGGCCCTTTCAGCTTCCATCAATAGCTACTGCTTGACCCTCTCCAGCAAATTGATTTGGCATAAACTGCAGATCCCCAAAATCAGCATCTTCCTCTGGAAGCTTCACTCCGACGCTCTCCCCCTTTCACACAACTTGAAAAAAATCTCAGTTCAACTTCCATCCTTTTGCCATTTGTGCAAGAGGAATGATGACTTGCCAGATCACTGCTTCCTACACTGCCAAGTTGCCAAAGAAGTTTGGAGCCACTTTATTCAAATCCTAGAGGGGCCCAAAATCAACACTAATCTCCAAATACACCAATACCTTTTGCAGTGGTTTATCAAAGCAAAAGGGAAAAGCTTCATAGCTCATCTTCTTAGCATAATCCCAGGTATTATTGTATGGACTCTTTGGAAAGGAATAAATGAAGCAATCTACGACTCCACTCCCAGCTCATCCTCGAGAATGATAAACACAATCCATTGGGAAATTCAAGGCTGGATCTGGATTCACAGAACAAAGAAGTGGATGATCTTTGAAGGAAATGCAGACTCACATTTCCCAAATCGATTCTGGTTGAACGGGAAGCGTTTGAAGATAGGCTTAATTCCAAATGATGATAACTGATAATTGTAATTTCTGTTTTATACTTTTAGAAGTTGACGTGTAATACTTTCCTCTAGACCTCTGAGGCGTTGGTCTAGTCCTCCTCAGACGTGTTCCTTGCTCGTTTTGATGTTTTTTAATAAATTTCATATAAAAAAAATATCACCGAATGTTTTACAATATATATATATATATATATATAAAAGACCTTACTCAGTATTCTTTGTGATTTTCTATCTTTCACTATACATAAATCTCCTTTAAAGTATATTACTATCGTCGTCCTTATGTATTTGTCTAATTTTAAGTTTTTTGTACGTAGTCAATCATTTTTTACATTTGATCTATAATTTGTTGGTGATTTTAGTGTCATCTTTAGATAAATGTTGTCAAACGATTTAGGAGGTGCGGAGTGCACTGAACACTCGTTCAACGATATTACAAATTCATAGCAGGGTTCAGGACGGTCGGGGGGGTGCGCGTGAACCAGTACCAGAACCGGATACTATTCTCAGTGTATTGCATGGCTTGCCCTCGAAATATGCCTCAATCAAACAAAACATTCGCACGAATATTTCCAATCTCACTTTTAACCAGGTTTCCTCTTCTCTAATGTCTGAAGAACTTAATATTCAACTAGAGCAAAAGTTGCAAATGAGTTCTTCGAGCTCGTCCAATGTTGTGCATACGGCCCTGTATACTGCACCTGGCGTGAGGAAAATCAACAGGGCAGGGGTCATGTTCGGTTCCCTAACAACCGTAGAGGAGGATATGATGAAGTAATGGTAGCAAAGGGTGCAATAGTGGTAGAGGTCGATTCCAGCAAAATCGTACTAACGGTCGAGGGGTGGACCATCATGTGATGGGCCTCTTGTTTGCCCAATTTGTCGGAGATTTAATCATGGTGCATGGCAGTGCTGGAATTGCTATGATTGCGACTTCTTTGGCCCTCCCTCACAACCTCCCAATGCTCAAGCCTTGTTCACTACCTATCCTACCAATTCCACTGAAAACTGGCACCTAGACACAGATGCAACTACTAACATGACTTCTAATTCATCAAGGCTGTATAATCATACTTCATATCAAGCCTCAAATTCTGTCTCTACTTATGGGGGGCAACCCTTCTCATATCTTCTGTAGGCTCAATACAGACATGTACCCCCTCAGGTACCTTTACCATCTCTAATCTCTTCCATGTTTCTGACTTGCAAACCCATCTCTTATGTTCACCGATTTACCACTCACAATAACTATTCTATTCTTTTTAACTCTAAAGAATTTATGATCTTGGACAATCTTACCCACAAAGTGATATACAGAAGCCCATGTGAGCGGGATTTATACACCTTATCAGCCATGTCCAGTCTTTCATCAGCCACCCATGTTCGTTGTCCATCTGTGTCTCCTGCCACGTCTTCATTGGTGGCTGACTCCGTAAAGGCGACATCTCATCACTGGCACTGTAGGCTTGATCATCCATCGTTTCAAGTTACAAAATTGTTGTTTAGTCAGTTAGGATCTGTCCAGAGTCCAATGTTGTTTAGTGTGATCCTTGCTCCATGTCTAAGTCTCACAAATTACCTTTTTCATTATCTACTTCATATTCTATTACTACTGCACCTTTTCAATTAATACATTCTAACGTTTGGGCCCCTACCTCTGTTCTTTCTTTTATTGGTTATCATTTTTACATCAATTTTGTAGATGATTTTACAAATTTTTGTTGGTTGTACCCTCTTAAAAATTAAATAAATATGATACTTTCCTCAGCTTTCAAAGTTTTCATACTATGATTAAAAATCAATTCAACACCACCATTAAAATTTTCTAAACTGATAATGGTCGAGAATATGTGAACTGTCACTTTGGTCTCTTTTTACAATAATTGGGGGACTTTCACCATAAGTCTTTCCCATATACACCTGAACAGAATTAGGTAGCTAAGCGTAAGCATTGCCATGTCATTGAAAACGGTCACCCTTCTCTACACTTCTTCTATTCCGGTTACCTTTTGGGTTGAAGCTTTGGCTATAACTAATTATCTTATTAATCATATGCCTAAACGATCTCTTCAAAATAAGTCTCCCTTTGAGGCTCTGTATCACATGCGTCATACCTACTCTCATCTTCGTGTCTTCGGATGTCTTGCCTACCCTCTTCCAAGGCATGAAACATGCCATAAGTTACAACCACGTTCCAAGCATTGTCTCATTCTTGGGTATGACCAGTTATCTAAAGAATATCGCATCATTGTTATGATCAGTCTACAAGTCGCATCTATGTGTCTCGTCATGTTTAGTTTAATGAAAATGAGTTTCCCTACTTGATAAACACCCCTTCACCGCCTCCCCAATCTTTCTTTGGTGTTTTGCCTCTCTTCCCTCTTATTCCTTCAGTGTCCTTAAATCCCTCTCACATGGACCTACCCCACCCTAAGCCCTTCCACCCGCCTCAGTCCACCCATGTACCCAACTGAAACCATCACCCTTACCCAGCTCCCTGGCCATTCCTCCAAGTTTCCCATATAGGTGTCCTTCCTCTCAGCTCGACACACCCATTCTTTCACCAGAATTTGTCCCTGCTCTACAACACACCCAACCCATCACTACTCAGCAACACGCCCAACCCATCACATCTTTCCACCCCTCCTTCAACCTGTACATCCTCCCCCATCCAACCTACTCACCCAATGACGACCCGTGTCAAAAGTGGTATTTTTAAACCAAAACTTATTTCTACATCTCTTAACTCTTCTCTTCGTGTCACTGAGTCCACCAATTTTAGGGAAGCCTCCGAATATGAAATTTGGCGTCGTGATATGGATAAGGAGAATTCAACTTTAATCAAACAGAACACATGGGTTCTTGTGCCAAGGCCTTTGGGTCACGCTCCGATTGGGTGTAAGTGGGTCTACAAGGTTAAGTATAATGCAAATGGCTCGGTCTCACGGTATAAAGTGCGCCTTGTGGCTAAAGGGTACACTCAGGAGTATGGGGTGGACTATTCACAAACATTCATTTCTGTTGTTAAACAATAGAAAATACGCATTATTTTCTCTCTTGATGTTCATTAAAATTGGCTATTTTTCCAGGTGGATGTTTCAAATGCCTTTTTACATGGAGAAATTGATAAAGACATATACATGGTCCAGCCTCATGGTTATGTTGGTTCTCGATTCCCCCACCATGTGTGTAAGCTCACAAAGTCACTCCATGACTTAAAATAGGCACCACGTGCGTTGTAAGAGCGCCTCTCTCGGGTTTTGCTTGCTTATGGATTTAGCAAGAACAAGCACGACATCTGTCTCTTTTTTTTACATGGAACCTCTAGGTCCTTATTTCTATTCGTATATGTTGATGATATTATTGTCACAAGTAGTTCCTTCGTGCTAGTTCAGGATTTTATTACTCGTATGTGTGCTAAGTTTGAAACGAAAGATTTGGGTCTACTTCATTACTTTCTTGGCCTTAATGTTTCTCGCAACTCCTCTTCAGTCATTATCTCCTAGAAAAAGTATGCTATTGAGCTTCTTCTTGCAAGCCCACTATGTCGCCACACCTGTTCGTCCGACACACAATGAGGGAAGCAGGGATGAACCATTTCATGATCCTACTCGCTCTATTTTGTAGTCTAGTTGGAGGTCTTCAGTATCTCACCACTACTTGACCTAACATTCAATTTGCTAGGACTTACGCTATGCATAACCCGACTAGAAAATGACTTCCAAAGCTTGAAGAGGATCGTGCATTTTGTTAAGGGGACTTTTGATCGAGGTCTCGTGTTTCAGTCTGACAATCTAAAGCTTCGGGCATACTCTGATTCGGATTGGGCAAATGACATGTCTGATGGACGTTCCGTCACTAGATATATCTTGTCCGAATCTGTGTATCTCATGTTTTCTATGAAGATCAATTGACTGATTTGCTGACCAAGTCGCTGCCAAAGCCGCGTTTTCAATCTCTTCTCTACAAGCTTCCGTTCGTGACACGACGTTCAGCTTGAGGGGGATTGTTAAAAAACTAACTATGCTCAATAGTAATTATGATAGATTTTGTATTGCAATCAGTTTTTATTGTTATTTTCCTAGTGCTAATTGTGATTGTATTCCTTCTATATATATACTCTACTCTATATTCTTTATTCCTTGAATAATTCAATAATTCTCTTATCTGTTAGAATAATAGACCAACGCTAGAGGGAGGGTGAATAGCGTTTGATCGTAAATATCGCAGGAATTAAAAAATTAAAAGAGAAGTAAAGAGACGAGTAAGAGGCACACCGAATTTTACCCTGGTTCACCACAACTTGTGGCTAATCCAGCCTCCCGAGACACTCTCTCGAGCTACACTACTATCTCTTTAAGCTTGCGGGTGCTTAACAAACTGTTACAACTTGAGAGTTCGAGTTACACGAACCTCAATGAGTCCTTCAAAGGAAACAGCCCTTCCTTTGAATCTACCGAGAGAAATACTTTCTCTCGAAGTGTCTAAGAACACGAATACACTCAAGAACGAGGCTCTCTTATAGAGTAGATTATGAGTAAACTAAGTACGCTCAAGAACAACTCAACCTTCACACAAAATGGCTCTAGAAAGCTATGGAAAATGATGATATTTGAATGAAATAAAAGTATGAATGTTGTGAAGTGAATTGGTGAGAAAAGCATACCCAAACACCATTTTTATAGTGCAAAAATAGGCTCCAACGGACCAATGCATTAAAGAGATGATTGGCTTGATTTATGGGATTGAAAAGGTTTGGGATCTGCAGGATATTGGCTTCCCATCGATGTTTGGGACTTACCCATCGCTGGTAAGCCAAATTTCCTCAGTTTTGAAGCCAACGGTTGCCTACCCATCGATGTGTACAAGCTTCCCATCGCTGGGTGGGAGGTTGACTTCCAAACAAGGAAAGAATCAACCTTAAATGACTACCAACGGTCATGCCTTCTCATCGATGGTTTAACCTTACCATCGCTGGGCTCCCATCGATGGGCAAGGTTGTTCTGCCTTGTGATAATGTTGCGCCAAGGCTTTAACAGCGATGGGTAGAACTCCCCAACGTTGTTTGGCATGGTTCTGGAAATTTGTTTGGCTTAGGGACTGCTTACCCATCGATGGGAAGATCTTCCCATCGCTGGGTGGGTGGTTAGCCAAAACCGCATGGTCTTTGCCTTAACCACGGCCTAGCCAACCAATGCAAAAACTGACTGAAAAATCCAAAGTTCTCCAAAATAAAAACCAAGTGTTTGAAACACTTATTTGATGTATTTGGCTAAGAAATCAAGTGAGTTGCTTTAAAAACCACGTCATTTGAGTAAAAACCACGGCTAGCCAAGTTTACGCCGTTTTGCGTGGTTTTTGTCAAACGACTAAAAGTGAAAGATGGTTTTCAAAGTGTTTTTTTTGGAGAACCGTTTAAACATGCCAAAGAGTGAAAACAGATCATAAAATGCTGAAAACCACTTGGTTGGTTCGGATGCCAAAAGCCAAAGGCGATAACCGAAAGCTGAACGCTGGTTTCTGAAAGCTGAACACTGGATGGGTTGGTTTTTGGTTTGGGCGAACACCAAGTGTTTTTAATGACTTAAACAAGTTTGAAAAACATTTTTATGATGTAAGAAATGCAATGAGAGATTTTAGCCTAAAGAGCCAAGGTGTAAAGATTGGGTCGGTCTTGATCACAATAAAGACCGACTCAATACCATGACTAAGGTCTTCGTTCTTGGTCTTCGTTTAGCTCTTGCTCTTATCTTCGTTCTTCGCCTTGTATATTCAATGTTTGACTTGATCACGGCGGTTTGGCATTATCAAAACCTGTCATAGGAACAAACACGGCTTTAGTACGAAAAACGTGACAAGCCCGTGTTTCAACAATTTCCCCCTTTTTGATAATGGGAAACGAGATGAGGTTATGCATAGGAGGATTTAAAAAAATGTTCCCCCTTAATAAAAAAAATTCCCTCTCAATTAATGCATAACCTTTATATCTTCCCCCTTTTGTCATTAACAAAAAGATTTAAAAGTAATTTTTATTCATTAAAAGGGAAATGCGGAATACAACGGAATCGACGTGCTGATTGGGGTGTAATTTGTTGTACCATTGTACGATCGCTTATACAACCGACCGCACTCCAGCGTGTAGCTAGGTGCACGTCGCTTAACGAATTGGGCTGCGACCGGATCTGTTGGTAGCGACTCGTCAAGGATATACATGGTTAATTCGTCAATCCAGTCCGGCACACTGAGGGTAATGACCAGAACTTGTCCGAGACTGATGCTTGGTTCAAGCAGTTCTTCTTCCTGAGTCATCGCCTTGATATGATCTGGGGAATCAGGACCGAGCTTTGACAAAATGTCCGCCTCAGCATTTTCTTCTCGAGGGACCTGCTCTATTCGGTATGCCTCAAATGCCTTAAGCAGCTCCAATGCGGTGTCCCTATACTTCTTCATCCGCTCATCCTTTGCTTCAAATTCTCCGGTGACATGGCCCACTATCAATTTGGAATCACACCTGCCCTGGATCCGCTCAGCTTTCAATGATGCTGCCAGCCTCAAACCGTAGAGAAGCGCCTCGTACTCAGCCTCATTGTTTGAGACCTTGAACTGAAATCTTACGGAGTAGTATGCCTTGAATCCCTCTGGTGATATTGCCAGAGCCGGTGGGTGCCATCTCCTACCCCAGCCTTCACCGTGATGGTTCCTTCTGCTTCTATGGTGTCCCCTGTGAATCCCGACAGCGGGGTACGGATTGGCTTAAGGTCGCCCCGTGACAACCCCAGCTCCTTGAAGGTGTTGATGTACATGATGTTTACCGAGCTGCTAGTATCGACCAACGTGCGATGGACGACCACATTATTGATTTCCACCTTTATCACCAGCGCGTCCCAATGGGGGCTAAGAACTTGCGGGCAATCTTCATCTGTGAAAATTAAAGGCTCCTTCTTCTTCCGTTTGGGTAGCGGTGGCCTTTGCACCTCGGCTAGGTGCACCATGTTCTTCCACTTCTTCCGTGAGGACGCCGAGTCCCCTCCGGTGTTGCCACCCATAATGAACTGACACCCTAAATCTCGGCGATTCTGTCGTTCTTCCTCATCCAGGTCGTCACAATCTCTCCCCAGATGTTGTATTCCATCTTCCTACCCATCCCTAGTAGTGATCGCTGCAGCGGCGGCCGCTGGCCTCCTCCAGGTTCGATTCCCTGGTGCTGGTCACTCCGGTTGAGGAGGCGGCCCTCTAGCGATTAACTGGTCCATTTCCTTCTTTAGCGTAATGCACTCCAACGTTGTTGGGAAAAATATTATAGATTTTGATGATGATATATCTAGAATGTATTAGAGACTTTAAAGCCCCCCCCAATATTCAATGTAATTTTTCTTTTTAGAAATATTGTCAAAACCAAGCTCTTGAGATTTCCAATAAAACTATGATATTTCTTTAAGCGTTTTGATGCCTGAAGACTTGATCAAATTCAGTGATATGAAAATTGGATATCTTGATCGGAAGTGTCAGAGACAAGTAAGGATTTCTAAATCAGATAAAAATCCTCAGATCCGGAAGACTACATAAGAACCGGATGTCTCGCTACATTCCGCTGAAGGCTAAGTCATTCAAATCGGAAGACTAGCGCGGAACTCCTTCTCACCCGGAAGTCTGAAAAAGACTCATCCGGATTTGTCAGCTAAGAATCGGAAGACTCACCGAAGACCGGAATTCTCAGAAAGCGGACAAGTGAGAAAAGGCTTAGAAAATCATCTAAGTCCTGAATGAAGAAATTCTACCCGTGGCAAGGAAAAATCAATCTCTTGATTTTCAACGGCTAGATTGAAGATAATTAGGCTGATTCAAGAACAAATTACTCGAAGACAAAGTCTGGGTCTCTAAAATTAAAGAGCCTGCCCA